TTTCCTTAGTTCCTAATAATTTGATTTTATAAGGCTTTTTTACTTGTTTCAGAAAATTGATTTCTATTTTTTTCTTTCACTTTTTATTTGTTAGTAAATCGTAAACTTCAAAAAATTAACTTAAACGAAATTTCAAGAAACACTATTTGAAAATAATAAATTACTATTACTTCATTTATTATAAATTGTTTAGTAATTTTTTTTTCTTTTGGTCACAAAAAATTGTTTAGTATAAAAAATGATATAGATATAATAAAGAATCCATCTTCTTAATGTATGGGGATAATTTTGAAAGTTGTTTTCTTTTAGAAGTGGAGAGGGGATTATATTTTATGATTTTTTCAAAGTTGCCAAAGTAGATAGCATATCGCTAATGTGACGAAATAAAATGGTCATGAACTATAGGTTTTGACAAATTTATATGTATGAAACAATATATAGATTTAAAAGGTTAATTAGTCCTTAATATTTTGTTTTCTCCTGGCTATTTCTTTGTTCCTCATCGCTTGCCAAATGGTGATAAACGGCTTAATCAAATATAATGTTTTTTTTTGAAACTTTGATATATAATGTGTGTTTTACTTTTTATATAACACAATATTTTTCATTTCGACAAAAAAAAAACACAATATTTTTCATACAATCACGTTTTAAGTTACATACAAAAATAAAATACCCCTTTCTTAATTCTAATTTTACCACCGCGTGTTCTCTTCATTCAGTTTTATCTAATTGTTCATGACCGTTTTATTTGAATAACACCCCCTTAAATTTTGTTTATCCAACAAATAAGCCATTTTTTAAAGTTAAAGAGAAACTTAAGAACAAATATTAATTTGATCTCTTATAAGGTATTGTTAGAGTATGGATTCATTTTTGCTTCCATTTTTCTTTTCCATGTGACCAATTAAATATGTTAAATAGTTTGTTAACACAATTTGTAAAACCTAAACATTTTATTTTTAATGATATTTACACTCTTACAAAGAAAAAACACCCACAAACTCAATTTACAACATTACCATTTCACAAAAACAAAAAGATTACGACATTTCTTTAAAATTAACAAACCACGGTTATAGCAAAATTGAACACTTCATCATCACTCTCCGGTGATTCTGTCTTGCCCTCTTCGGTGGGCATTTTTTTGGGACCATTTTTTCGCAAAGTCACGAGCACTTTTTTCAACGGTAAGCATAAATAAGCAAGAGATCGCTAATATGAAGAAAAAATATATTAGCAAACCAATGCCTAGAATTAGAAGTCTCCGATCTATCGAATTCATTTGTAATGGATTTTCAATATTATGACTTGATTTTGAGATAGAAACAATGCACCATCAATCTCTCCAATATATATACGGTTTACAATAATGTTTTTGGAGACTTTGTATTTGCACTTTCTAAATACAATAATGTATTAGTTTTAAAAAAAATACAATAA